GCGGCTTATAATCCGGTGCGGCTTATATGTTGATGTTCGCACGTTTTTTTAAAAAAATGGGGGGTGCGGCTTATAATCCGGTGCGGCTTATATGTTGATGTTCGCACGTTTTTTTAAAAAAATGGGGGGTGCGGCTTATAATCCGGTGCGGCTTATATGTTGATGTTCGCACGTTTTTTTAAAAAAATGGGGGGTGCGGCTTATAATCCGGTGCGGCTTATATGTTGATGTTCGCACGTTTTTTTAAAAAAATGGCGGGTGCGGCTTATAGTCTGGTGCGGCTTATAGTCCGAAAAATATGATAGCTGTGGTTCAGTAGAACATTAAATTATTTTTGCAAGGTATTTAAAAAGGTATTTACCAAGAAAAAAAACATTCTTTATGTTTAAAACATAGAATCTCACATTAATAAAGTTATCCTTTTGTAAAATTAAAGTTTTAGAATTGAATTTCGCATTAAATATGCCATAAAGAAACATAAACCCTACAAACAGCAACAATATTTGCACACTAGCCAACTGAATAGGATCTAAGCTCATTTACTTTTGTTATTACTGGGGAGATGACTGTGGTTCATTCTTCTATCAATGCACAAGTTTACACTGACAGTTTGGACAGTTTTCTCATCCCTTCAATTGAACAGATGTTTGGAGGTGATGAAATAATTTTCCAAGATGACAATGCATCGTACCATAGGGCAAAAACAGTGAAGGCATTCCTTGGAAAAAGTCACATGGAGGCAGTGCTTAAAAGCCTGAATTTTGCGTGAAACTCTCAGACTGAAGAAGTCTCTTGGAGGAGAGACGAAGCGTTTCATTAGAAAAGAACCCGTCCAGAGGACCTATACAATTTTTTTCTTTTTGATTTTTTACCTGGATTACTGAGATGCATCAGGACACCTTGGAGAAAGACACATTCAGTCGATGTCATGGTCTGCAAATAGTCCAGATCTCAGCCCATTTGAAAACATGTGGTAGAAATTGAAAAAAATGGTCCACAAGAAGGCTCTGACCTGAAAAGCTGATCTGGCAACTGCTATCAAAGAGAGTTGGCACCAAATTGATGAAGAATACTGTTCATCACTCATCAAGTCCATGCCTCAGAGACTGCAAGCCTTTATAAAAGCCAAAGGTGGTGCAACTAAATATTAGTGATGTATTTTGAATGGTCTTTTGTTTATCTGTTTTTCATGATTCCATACTTTTTCCTCAGATTTGAGTGATTCCATATTTTTTTCCCTGTACTTGCTCAATTAAAGTAATATTCACTGACGTCCACGATGTTTTCTCCATTTCTTTGAATGTCATATGCCTAGTCCTGCATGTCTGTATGCCAGTGATGGCGCTCTAAATGCATTAGAACACACATGCGCATCACTTTAGTACACATTTAATACTGATAAATTTAAATACAAGAGTCCTGGAGGTGGCAGAGTGGGTAAGTGATAATTCAGAGAGATGATTAAATTTCTTAACTTTTTTTATTTCCAGTAAGAAAAGTGGCAAGCTGAAAACGGGTTACAAGCGTGACCATGTGAACCTGGGCTGTGATGTGGACTTTGAGGGGCCCATCATCCAGGCTGCTGCAGTACTGGGCTACGAAGGCTGGCTTGCCGGCTACCAGATGGCGTTTGATACAGCTAAATCTAAAATGGCTCAGAACAACTTTGCTCTCGGCTACAGAACTGCAGACTTCCAACTTCACACAAACGTGTGAGTGTTTGTCTTTTTTCCTCTGAATTGATTAATTGTGGAACTCTCCCAATTGAAGCATCATCTCTAATTAAATATTTGCTCTCCCTTTTAGGAATGATGGAACTGAGTTTGGTGGCTCTATCTACCAAAAAGTGAATGACGAGCTGGAGACGGCGGTTACTCTGGCCTGGACTGCCGGCAGCAACAACACCCGCTTTGGCATCGCCACCAAATACAAGCTAGACAAAGACTCCTCTCTATCTGTGAGTGCTGCGTTTTATCTTTGGCTAAACTCACAGTTTATTGTAATTTGTTTTTGTTATCTTATCACATTTTCCCCCACAGGCCAAAGTGAACAATGCCAGTTTGATAGGAATAGGCTACACTCAATGCCTCCGAACAGGTAAGGCTCCCACCCACAGCAACAATATTGCTCTCTCCAACCCTTTTATTTGGTTAAAAGACATACATTTACTTTATTTAGGAACAGCAGTGTTTTGTTCTGTAAAACTAAGGCTAAAATTTCTACTAAAAATTAACAATAAATGCAAAAAAATGCCTTATTTAGCTTGCTTTAGAGCAAGTTAAATAAAAAAGCACTGTCTCCTACAGTATCTTGTTGCTATTTTTTGTAAAATTTAGTTCAATTCAGTTTATTTATATAGCAACAACATTCATTATTTTAGGCCCTATAAAAATGTAAAAACATGGACCAAGTCATAGATCTAGTACATTTGCAGTTATCAGAGGAGCCTGATAACTGAAATCTCTCATTTTACCAGTGGTTGAGAAGGTACTCAAACACTGAAAAGTAAAAGTACAGATAAACAGACAAAAATGTACTGTAATAAAATTAAAAGTACCACATTAATATTTTTACTTGCTTTTAAAAATACTTAAACTATAGAAAGTAAAAGTATTTGCTTAATGTATTCTCTAATGGTCTACATCATGAAGTGTACGTACTGTTAGTATATTTTTAATACATCAATGGTGAGCCATTGCTGCAGATAATGCATGTTTTTGTGTTTACCCTCTGTGACACTGTTCACACTTGAACTAGTGATTCTGTGCATCATTGAGATTGTGACAACAGCTACAGAAGCTGTGAATTCACCAACAACTTCCTCCATCAAATCTCAACAAGTCATTATATTTACTGGTTTGAATAAGTCTTTTAAATAAGGCCATAGGTGGTGTGTTTCCTCTGGGTGTCTCTCTGTGGTTGAACTCATTTTGGGTGTGCTAGTGCTGCTGCTGATGCTCCAGCAGGTGATGACTCCCCTCTTCTTCAAGGAGGGTCTAATGGTATTTTTCTGCTTTGCAGTGGTTCAGTGGACCAATTACAGCAATTCCCGTCTCACCACTGATTACTTTCAAACTAAAAATACAAAATGTAATGTGATGTGACGTGAATTTAATTTGTAATGCAACACATTACAGACATGTAGTGAAGTAGAAAGTACAGATACTTAATGTAAAATATAGTGGAGTAAAAATCAAAAGTACCAATGATTAAATCTAAAGTAAGGTACCGATACATGACAAATGTACTTAAGTACAGTAACAAAGTACTTGTACTTTGTACAGACGATGCTTATCTCCTCAAGATTCTCCTAATATCTGCTAAAAAGGCTATAACAAAATGCTGACTTAGCAATAACCCTCCCTCCATGAACCTCTTTATGTCCATAGTGGAAAACATTAAACTGATGGAATGTATGACTTTTATAGTCTTTTCAACTGCAGGAGGAATTGGGTAAGAGGTGTTGGAAGAAATGGTAGGACCTTGTACACAGTGATAGTTCATATTAACCAATAAAGAACAGACGTAACATTTTGAATACCCTCAAATTTGTGTATGATTGATTTTATCTTATTGTATTTTATTCATTTATCATTCCCAGACCTCATACTGTTATTGTATACTGTTCAAAAAGTTATAAATAAAAAGTTACAAAAAAAGAGAAGAGAATACCGTTGCTACGGAGCCCGCCGGGGGTCAGTGGGAGAAAAAAAAAAAAGCCGCTGGAAATCCGTGTGCACGGATTGCTAAACTGAGCGAACGGATTAATAAACTGAGCGCACGGATTACTAAACTGAGCGAACGGATTACTAAACTG